ATGAATCGTAATTCTTATCAGCTATTTGCTAGCCGTATTGATTAGCTGGATGTTTGAAACATAATTACCTAATTACAATGTTTTTATGGTGATAAAAAGTACATTTTTAGGAGACCCCCAGCGAATTTCCGGCTCATTCGAAGGCGTAATCAATGGCAACTCGATTGATAGAACTGATTTGCATACGTTCATCACAGCCACTGATGGGCATGCATATACAGCAGTTTCGAAAATCCCCTCAGATCTTGGATCACCATTTCTCATCCTTAATCCCATAGGATCTATTATGGGATGGCTTTTTGCTGATGTAAGTTGAAATTTTCCGGAAATGGCACCAAAATCTACAGTATCCCCTAAAATCCCACTTGCAGGTGCAATCTCCGCGGGTCTACAATGGCTTCCAGCTGACTGGAGGGCTCTTTAATCGTACCGTAACCCTACACATTGGTGACCGATACCAAGTTTCGATTCGACAAAAATTTAGTGGACGAGATATCTACCATTATTTCAAAGCTACGGTAAGTAAAGAGAAACTTTCTTGTTTACAAAGAAAAGCGCAAATTTTTTATTCAAACTTGGTGTTAAAATTCTCTATTGATGATAGACAAGTTTTCCGGTACTTGACAATAATTGTTTGATAACTTGTTTTTTTTTGCCATTTCAATTTTCGGGGTGATTTTGCTTCATCTGTTACTCAGAAGTAATTCTTTTCAAAATTGCAAACATATCTAGCAATAAACTCTTGATTGGATTCGCCCAAGTTTCATTGATTAATCTTTTCGGTAAATGGCGAGTTTTAAACATACATATATGTGTGGTTCTCTGCAAGATTAGTACTGCTGAAAAGTAAAGGAAAGCATATAAGTAGTTGCGAAACGGAAAACAAAAAGTTTTGAATGTAAAGTGCACAATTTTCTTTCGAATTTTTTACAACCTGAAGTGATGTCCTGTATTTCTGCTCTCCAATTGTTTTGACAAAATTTTAAAGCATATAATAAATGTAAAGCATTAAATTATCTGACAAGCCGCTTGGTTTGATTAATTGCTTCTTTTCTGCTAGGTCTTCGTGTCTGGCACTTTGCCAGATGTGGCACCTGGAGCTGAAGTGCAGTTCCCTGATTATGAAGAAGAGTATCGGAGGGAAAAACCAGGTAGGGATAATTCTGCGCAATCGAAAGACTTTTCGGAATAGCTCTTTTCTAGGTCTCGTACGTTCCTATACCGGCATGGACATTCTGTTGAAAGAAGGTGGAGAGACGAAAACAATTCGAATGACAGTCGATCAACTTATTCAATTTGATGAGTGTCCACATAGGACGGTAAGCCTCATTCACTAGTATTTAGCTGTATCTAATCCCTCAGTTCTTTTCTGAGTGCATCAGTAGGCTCAATTGATATGGCAGTTTCTTAAAGCTTTCCTTGCAGCTTACAGAACTTAACAAAATGAAAGCTTAAACAGCACTATACCTAATCGCTTACAGTTTTTCGATAAGGCCCTCTTTTATTTGCATTTAAAACTTTTTTGTATAATTTTATTCTAATAAGATTATTTCAGTTCGAAAAAGACGACGCTGTAGTGCTTCATGTCAAGCGAGTCCATGTCACATATGATCCAAACGAGGGAATCGTAAGGTGAGTTTCTTTGATTATTTCTAACTCGTTATATCTTTTGAAGAATTGGAAGAATAAAAGCAGTTTGTGTGTTTACTCGAGTCCCCCTTATTGAGCCTGATGAAGAAAAAAAAAGGTGTAATGGGAACTATCAAATTTTTGGGGGACTTGACACTTCCATTTTGTTGAAAGAAAAACTTATGATACTTTTGATAGTGGCTTAAAAAGTACATAATCTTGCCATCATGTATTCTTGCAGTCACTATAATGACGACAGGTGGAAACCCTTCTCCCCC